TGATACCTTTTTTTTTGGCGTTACCCAGCCAGAGTAGGAAGAGCGTCTTCAAGTAGCGTGGAGGGTAAGAGCAGGGGCTGAACCACTGCGCATCAGCTGTTGAATCTTACCCAGCTTCCATTAGCTCGTCTGTACTGAGGACAATGTGCGTGTCCCTCATACACTTAATGTGAGAATTAAATAATGGTGTTGAGAATGGGACAGTGCCCGTAACAGAATACACACACACACACACACACACACAGTGTATGTTGTATTATTATCATCGCTGTGCAGAATGCGTGGCGTGAGCTCAGCAGGGACTTTGGCTCTTGGCCGCTTGTCCAGCTCCTCACTAGCTCTGGGCTGATCTGGTGATGACTTCGTTCCTCACTGTCTCCATCTTTCAAGTGAGGTTAAGTCCTCCCTAAATCGCTCAGCTCAAACATCTTGAAAGCGCAAGTGTGCGGTTCACCTAGGGCGTCATTTATTATCATCCTGTTTCCTCTTGATTCAACTAAGGAGGTTGTTAGGGAAGATGCGATTCAGGGTGAAAAGGGGGAAGTGCTCGTGAGAGTCCCTGGGAGAGAAAACAGAAGAGGGGGGGCGGAGAACTGAGCGTCAGAGCCCGGTCATCAGACTCTAAAAATGGGGAAGAGGGCACCGAGGGCCTGTGGGCAGCCGACACGGTGCTCGGTGCTCGGAATTTCTGGCTCCTGAAGTCCAAGAAGAGGGACTGGAAAAACCAGATGTTGGGCAGCGTGTGCTTGGGTGTGTGTGCGAAGTCCTTGAATAGTGGTGTTTGTCTTAGGAGTCCATAGACCCCCATCCCACAGGGAGGGAAGTGGGCAGTGGGGACAAGAAAAACCAGCTGCCCTTGACTCTGGAGTAAACTCACTGGGAAAAGTATCTGGGCTTGTAAACAAGAGGCTGCTCCAGTAGAACCAGGAGCTGTTTGAATGTGGAGGGAAGGTCTGTGGGTTTGTGGTCACTGCTGGTGCCCGCAGGGCTCCTGTCCCCGCCAGCCTGCCCGCATCCTTTAATGCCCTGCTGTGGGAAGTTAAGGACCGGGTGTCCTTCCTGGGCTACACCGCAGGGCCTTTCCCCTCTGTCGCTGTTTTCTCACTCAGAACATTTTCCTGCGACTTCTGGACCTTCCTGTCCTCAGGCCCTCTTGTCTCGCGGGGGTCTGGCCCTCATGGCTGGGAGGGAGTCAGAGAGCTGGTGAGAGATACCCTCTTTGTTTGGAATGGCTTTTTTCCCTCCTTCTCCTCCCTTCTCTGCCTTGCTGCCCTGGTTTGTAATGACCCTTAAGGAAATGCCGATGAGGTAAACTCACGTAGCAGCCATGCTTTCACTTGGAAGGAGGGCGAGGACTCGCTTCTCTTCCTCTCCTCTCCTCTC